CTTTGCCGCTAGTATAAGGTCATCTACATATTGCAGAACCACCTTTTTCCAGGTATTGAGGGGTAACTTGTTAGATCCTTCGCCAAGGCAGTGCCAAATAAAGTTGGGGAATTTTTGAATCCCTGGGGCAATCTTGTCCAGGTTAGCTGGCCTTTTGTTCCTGTCAAAGGGTCTTCCCACTGGAAGGCAAATATAGGTTGGCTCTGTGGTGCCGGCTGGCACCAGAAGAATGCATCTTTCAAGTCCAATACAGTAAAAAATGTTGCTTCTGGTGGGATCAAACTCAGCAAGGTATATGGGTTTGGTACATTTGGGTGCAAGGTCTCGATAGCCTGGTTTACGAGCCTCAAGTCCTGTACTGGCCTGTATTCATCTGTCCCAGGCTTCCGAACAGGCAAAAGGGGTGTGTTCCATTCTGATTGGCAGGGCTTAAGCAGACCATATTTTAATAGGCGGTCCAAATGTTTCTGGATGCCCTCTGCTGCTCGCCGGGGTAAAGGATATTGCTTTACAGATACAGGGGTAGCCATAGGTTTTAGGGTTACTACAATTGGAGCTATATTCTTAGCCATTCCTGGTGGGCTATTTTCGGCCCATACTCCTGGTGGCACTTGTAGGGTTCGGAGGAGCTTGTTTAATTCTGTATCCAATGTGGGTTGGACTTGCAGGGCTGACATTAGGCGCCATGATTGTTCCTTAGGTACTGAGAGGGAAATTATTCCTGCTGCCTTTGATGGCAGTTTCATTTCTGGACCTCGAGGAGTGAAGGTGATTTGGGCCTGCAATTTGGACAGCATATCTCTACCTAAGAGAGGCATTGGACACTCAGGTATATACAAAAACTGATGGGTTAAATGATGTCCCCCAATCTGGCATTCTAAAGGTTGGAGGAAAGACCTCTTAGCTGACTGACCAGTGGCACTTTTAATGACTACACTTTTGGATGCCTTTTTCTGCAATAGTTCTGGGAGTACTGAGTATTCAGCGCCAGTATATATCATAAAGTCTATTAAATGGCTCCCTAATTGAATCGTGACCGTGGGCTCCTGGAAGCCTAACTTTATGGAGTCCGGTCGTTCCTAGTCTTGGGTAAAATCCTCCTCTGCCAGTCCAATGAAATTGTCTCTACTCCGTCCTTGTCCAGGTCTCTGATATTTTCCATCTCGGATCATTCCCCGTCCCCGTCCCTGATTTCTTGGGCCGGAGCCTGGGCCTGGGCCTGGGCGTACTTCTTCCAACCTCAGGGGTTCAGGACACTCCCGCTTCCAATGACCCTCCTTCTTGCAATTCACACATTGATTCCTTCCCAGTGGTGGATTCCTTCCCCGCCCTCTCCCTCCATTTAAAGGGCGGTAGTCTTGCTTCACTGCTGTGGCTAGCATCACCATCTTTTCCTTCTGCCACTTCTTCTTCTCTTGTTTCTCAGCCTCATCCCTATTCCGATAAACTCGGCGTGCAATGGCCATAATTTGGCTCATCAGCATCCCTTCCCATCCTTCTGATTTCTGAATTTTCTTACGAATGTCAGAAGCGCACTGAGCCACAAAAGTAGCAGTAATCATTCTGCTGTTTTCAGGGGCTTCAGGGTCAAAAGGAGTCCATATACGATAGGCTTCCTGCAGCCTCTCTAAAAAGTCTCCCGGACTCTCATTTGGTTTCTGTTCTACTTCTGAGACTTTAGTCATATTAGTGGGCTTCTGGCATGCCCTGCGGATACCTTGCACAAGCGTCTGGCGGTAGGTGGTAAGCCTGGCCAGGTGAATTGCATTGTTTGGATCCCAATTAGGATCTTCCAAGGGAAAATTGTCCTGGAGATGACGGTCAATATTAAAAATATTTCCCACTCTGGCCTGCTCACGCAAATATATCTGTGCCTTTTCAATTATGTCTCTCCTTTCCTCAGTGGTGAACAGAGTATTCAGGAGCTGGCGGCAATCTGTCCAAGTAGGACTATGAGTATTTACTATTGAAGTCACCAAGTCCATCATAGCCTGAGGTTTTTCTGCGAAAGACGGGGTGTGTGTTTTCCAATTCATCAGATCCGTAGTTGTGAATGGAATGTACTGGAGGGTCGAAGTTCGAGGTGGCCGTGGTCCGAGTTGCCCGTTAACCAGCACAGGCTCCTCAAGTGCATCAAATACTCTTCTGAGAGGGGCTACTACGTGACCTTTCTCTTCGCTTTGCTTTAGGGGCCTCAAATCATAGGGGATGGTATCTGTCCCAAGGCGTTCTTTTAACAGCTTTATACGCCTGGCTGTATTGCTTACTGACCGATCAAAGTCTCCCTGTAACTCCTGTAATAGTTCTCTAGGACTTGGATGTACAGGGGTTTGGGGTGGGCAATCAGTTGTTCCACTAAAGGAGACTGTAGATGGAGTTCTACTGGGACTCACAGGTGGAATAACCACTTCTGCTTGGGCTTTATTATAGGACTCCAATGCCTCCTGAAGATATTTATCATAATCTATCAAGGAATCAAGCTCTGTGACTCCAGCCCCATTATTCCTTCCACTTTCTTGCCTTGGGGTTACAACTGGTGGAGTGTTTGGATTATGCTCCACTCGATGTGGAGCATAGGGTGGAGGTGGAAGCACCTCTTCCTCTGGTCCCTCAAAAATGGGTTTGAGTTTATTTGGCAAGATTCCTTTCCTAGCTTCGGCTTTTACAGCCAATAATTTGCATTGTTGGACTTTGCATTCCCTTATCCATGGAGGATTATTATTTAATGTGCTCAGCCAATAATCTATATATGAAAATTGTTCTGGGCACCCTCCAGTTTCTTTGGTGATGTTAGACCAAAGTTTGCTTGCTAAATTTATATCAAAACTTCCCTGAGGTGGCCATCCAGTATTTTGTTTTGGCCAGTCTAATTCACATAACGTTCTCAAGCGCTCTGGCGTCATTTTGACTCCATATGCTCCTGAGAAGGCTTTCTTAAAATTATTTAACATACATTCAAGAGGTGTATTTTCCCCCTTTGAACCTCCATCTCCCATTGTATGGCCCTGTGAAGTATCCACTCAGTCACTCACACACACACTCGCTTCGTGGGGATCCTTGCCTAGTGAAGTCGCCTTACTAGGAACCGAAGTACTACCCACTCCACACTCAGGTCAGCTACAGATTGTACTTTCTCACACATACAATGCGCTGGATACTTCACCACACTCTACCTCCCAATCTTTCCCTTTTCCTCCACCAGACCACCATCTGATGTACCCAACCACCTAGCGTACTCAGTCCCCCTTACTGAGACGCAGAAGTTTGATCAAGACTTCTCTTCCTCCCAATTAATTGGAGGGCCACAACCCCTTTGTGCACTTACCCTTAGCTGGTTCCCTGTTTATTTCTCTGGTTACCCCCGGTCCGTCGCCGCCAGTGAGCAGGGTATCAGACAGACGAGACTTCTGCGTTCCCCTGGAAAAATGTTCCAGTGCGCGCTGGGTAAGCGGTCAGTGGTCCTCCCTCTTGTACCCTGCCCGCTAGGGCGAAGGGGCTGCGTTCCAGCAGACCACTTATCCGAGTCACAGAGGCACCATAAAATGTAGCACCCTGCTTGTGGTTAACGCTTAGCTGGAATGAAATATTCAACGCAGCAATAGAGAAATTAAAATAATAATTTATTTGTCAGACAAATAAATGAGAGACACAGTGGTATATGGATACCAAAGCTCTGCCTACTCCAGCCCTGATGGCCAGCACTTATATTTCCTCAGCCCAGCCCCCTTGCTCCTCCTTTGGCTGCCTCTGTCCAATCAGCCTGGTTGAAATTCCTATTGGTTGTTTGCTAGAACCAATCATAAAAGATACACCCATTTCCTATTACCTTTTATGGGAGACAAAGAGCTATATTTCCTTCTATCCATAAATGGCAGACAAGTAGCCATATATCTTACATTTACCTCGACCAGGCACCTCAATTACCAGATAACCTTTGGCCCCTGTTGCCCTATTCACTGCAAACCAGATGGCTAAAGCAGATGGTGCATGGTTTTTAATTTTTTTATCTTAAAGAGATCTTGAGTTCACCTTCTCACACACCATAATAAGAATCTAACATAAGAATCTAACATTTCTTACTTTCTAAATCCTTTGCATAATTACATTTAAGCCAATATATTTCATACATAACATAGATAGATTTTTAGAAGGAAAGGCCTTTTCAAATTAAAAGGAACTTAGTAAAAGCTAAGTTCTCTAAGTTCTCTAAGTTCTCTGAAGCTTCAAAACAGCTTGGAGAGAAGCCTTTTTCCCTATCCAGCTGCTGTTTCTAAAAGCAACTACTTCAATTTAACCTTTAACCTTATGAAAATATGGCTCGAGTCTTCTGTTAAACAATAAATTTCACTATTTACCAGCTCTTAATTGTGTTTTTGCAGCTTGATTGTATTCTGTAATTTGTATGGTCAGTGTGACCTTTTGCTCTCAGCCTCTAATTTCCTTTTACAACCCTGAAATACTGCTATTTATAGCAGTGGGGCCCTTGAACAGCTGCCAGAGTATTCAGCTGGTCTCTCCTGGCAAATATATTTTTTAAGCTCATTTTAAAATGCAGATCTTGATTAGATGCCTCATACTAGCAGGCATAGCGTCACCGTGTGGAGTAAACAAGGAGAGGTTTCCCCAACCAAAAAAGAGAAAAAATAGAAAGTGCTCAGTTTGTTCAATTTAAGAGCTTCTCCGTGTGGAGACTGCCAGGAGTTTCAGTAACAAAGTATAGAAGGGAGTTGGCGGTTAATAGTTAACAGCTGGCGGCCTGCCCAGGATGCTTCACACAACTTGCCCAAGATGTTTCCCATAGCATAGACAAGAAGGTGCTGTTAGAATCTCAGTAGGTTGGTAAGTTTAAAAGTAGAGAAGTAAAAAAAAGGAAAAATTACTTCCCTGGGTGGCAATCAAAGCTAATTACAGTCCTGTTATCTGCAGAGCTCTGAAGCCTGCTTGCTAAGCCGTCGCCATCTTGGAACCCCCATAGGCTTCTCTGGTCCACACACCGTGCAATGGCGGTGAATGCCAGTAAGATGTTTATGCAGGCCATAATGTGTTTTTTCATAACGAGGTAATTTGCATATCTCTTCTGTCCTTAAGGTCTTCAACGCCAAAATTATAGCTCAGTTGCTCTATGGTATCCCAGTCTGGCTGCCAGGGTTTACCCAGTTGGTAGAACGAGTGCAGGCAACTTTCCTCTTCAATATTTTTACTGTCCCACGCTATGTACCCTATGTAGCCTTGTGTCTAGAGGGAGGTCAACACAAGGTAGAGACTGTCGCCTGGGTGAGATTTCTTCTAAGCTGGTTAAACATCTGCCTTACATTAGATAAAGATCCTCTCCTCAGCGAAGTTTTGTTAGACCTCTTTCTTTCCCCAGGGCTACAACAGTTTAACAAGAAGGTACAGCGACTTGGGCTTCAGTGGAACTTTTGCGATCAATGTCCCTACCATCTGCCAAGGCTATAATAAAAACTAGGTTGTGGGATATTGAGCGCTAGGAACTAACAGTAGCAGCAGAGAAAACATGTTCCCCTCCTTATTTTCAACTTTCTTGGGCACTTGAAACTAACCACAATTACCTTGAATTTCTGCTTAACCCTCAAGAAAGGAGGGCATTTTCGCTGGCCAGGTTTAATTCAAATCCATCAAACCTCCTTTGGGGAAGGTTCTCAGGCAGGGTGGAAGGAGAAAGAACTTGCCCATGTGAAAACCACCTGGTGGAAACCCTTACACATATGGTTCTTAATTGTAAACTATATGCTGATCTCCGTCAGCAATTTCTAGATCAATTCTGCATCCCCAAATGGAAACCAGAGTTGGAGGTCATACATTTTCTATTCCTGGGGAATGATCAGGAGCTCACCAAGTTAGTGGCTAAATATCTCTATTTGTTTTTTTGTCGTTGAAATACACTGCAGACGTCTGATCTCCCTGGAGACCTAGAGATGTGACGATAGACTGCTCTGCCTCCTTTCTTTTAGCAAATGTTTTGTTCCACTGGGGAAGTGGTAATTCTGTATTGATTTGTTTTGGATGTTTGGGTGTTTGTATGTGATGCCAATAAAAGGTTTAATGATGATGATGATGATGATATCATCAATCCCCAAGATAATGGTGGCTCTGGCCTTCTGGTCTCTCTTGCTGTGCAGCAGTCGGATTCTGAGGAGGATCATTAATCACCTCCCAGAGAGATTCCTTCTGCAGAGTGGCCTCTGCTCTTTGGAACCAGATCAAATAGTTGTGACTGTTCTATTGGTAAAACCTATTGGTGTTTCGCAACTTTCTGACTAGTTGCAGGACCTTAGCCAGACCTAGCAGAGTAAACGTAGAATCCATGGAAGCAATTGGAGACTTGGCTGCAGACAGGATAGACAAAGCAGGAACCAGGAACTTGTAGTTAGGTGTTTATTATATACAGTGGACTATTTACAGGAACAGAACACAGATCTTTAGCTAGCTCTCTCTGACATGACTCTCAACTCCTACACTCACTGAACACTGAAATACTACTGAACACTGAACTAACACATTCCAGTTAGTAGGCCATTAATTATTACTCCCTTGAGAGAGCTTGACCAATCAGGGAACTGTCTCCATGCCTCTGTTATCACCAGGCAGACTTACTCCTTCATATTGCCTTATGGCTGTCTGCCAAACCTTAATTGCCTCTGTGTGAGTAGCTGCACGTACACAGTTTGCCAACACCCCCTCACAGCTCACACACAGTGCAATTAACTTCTGAGCACATACAGAATATTTTACCCAACTTTGTTCTGCAAACCCAAACTTTCACACATTTGCTTGTTCTTTACAAACGACAACGGTTTCATAAATATGTCAGCAACATTTTCAGCACTCTGAACATATTCACATGCAATGACATTTCTCTGTACATTACATAACACATTTTAGTATTTTACGGCCTCATGTTTAGATCTGGATTTGAACTGTTCAATTTTACTGAGCGTTATACAAGCTTGATTGTCAATGTACACCTGAATTGGAGAATTGCATTGTATGCCCAAATCTCTCAGCAACTGCTTGTAATAGACCAGCTCATTGCAGAGCTCACTTAACGCTGCAAACTCAGCTTCAGTGGATGACACACTGACTATACTTTGTTTTCTGGACTTCCATCCAATCAGTGACCCACCAAGCAAAAACACTAATCCAGTAATTGATTTACGATCAGGTAAATCTGCCCAGTCGCTGTCTGAGTAGCATGTAAGCATCTCATCACCTGCTGAACTTAACTTTAAAACACTTCCGGCAGTATGCTTCAGATACCTCAGAAAGCCACTTCCGACCTTGGGAGGAGGTGGTGTTGCGGGCATCACGCCCCAACATGCGCACGGAGGCTGCCTCCCAGCCCTGCGCGATCTGGGAAATCCTCGGCCGCGTCATTTAAGGCAAGCGCGGCCTGGAATCTCCCTCTTTGGCCGCTCAGCTGCGTTTGTTTCCCGCATATCAGCTGTTCCTGTTTGTCGGAGATCTTATCGTGCGTTGCCTGGAGCGTTCGTGCCTTGCTTCTTTGTTGCCTTTGTTCTTGAGCTCCCTTTTTTACAGAGAATTCCCAGCATTTGCTGCTGGTGTTGCTTGATTTCTAGGCGGCTTGATTTTCAGGAGTTGTTATCTCTGGTTTTGGAGCTGAAACCACTTTGGGGCTTTTCTCCTTCTGGGGGTTTCCCCTTTGCGCTCCATTCCAGCTGCTGCAGATTAACAACTGAGCTAAAATCACTATGCGTGGGTGTGGGTGCGCGTGTGGGTGCTTTCCTTCCAGCACCTCTTTCGCGCCTGCTGTTTTTACAGGGAGCTCTGTGTGTTTCAGGGCAAGTTCCCTGCGCTCAGGAACTTGCCGTGCCTGCTGCTGCCTGCCCCCTTCAGAGGAATTTATTCAGCTTTGTGGAGCTTTTTCTGGTGACCCGTTGCCTGCCCTCGGCTGCTGACTGCCTTTTCTGCAAGGAGCTCAAGGAAGAACGTTTGGTACTGTGTGTGTGTGTGTGTGTTTTGCTAGCTTGGGGGAAGTGAATTGGAGGAACGGAGCTTTATGTGGGGGGGGGGTGCAAAGCTATCCTTAGTGATTTAGTCACCAGAGATTCTGTATATTGAGATATCACCTTTTTGTGCTTTTGCCTTGCGGGGGTGGGGGTGGTTCTTTGTTGCTAGCTGGGACTGCTTACTCGCTGTTGGGATTTTAGTTTTGTTTTTGTTCTGTTTTCTTGCCTTATTTCTGGCATTTAGCAAGTGCAATTTCGTTTGGTGCTATTGGCTGTTGAGGGGTTCGCTTGCCCTGCAGCTTTTTTGCCTCCGTTTAGCTTACATTTCACTAAAAAGTACAGCTTGTGTTGTTACAGAAACCACGTGGCTGCCCCTACAGCTTTGAGCGCTTAAAGGAACCACGTGTTATTGTGGGGCCAGTTGTTGACCGTTGCCCAGGTTACAGCTGCCGGGTTGTTGCCATTTTGTTTCTGACACGTGATCCAGCAACGGCGGCCATTTTAAGTGAGGCACGCTAGTTATTTAGCCCTGCTGGTTGTTCGGGTTGTTAAGCTTTGTTACTTTGTGGCAAGATTTATATAGTGCTTCAGCATTGTTGCTTAAAGGAAACCGAGTGGCTGCTCATACATCTATCATTCCATAGTAGCCAACTGACTTCTCATACAGCTTATTTAAGTTTTCGGGTATATTGTTAAAAGGCGGCTTGCCCCTTTATAGGAACCTTGTGACCAGTGGGGGGGGGGGGATTGTATATTTGAACTAGTAACTTTGTCTGCTTGAGTCTTCACGACTTTGCTGCACTTTTTGGCTTTATGGCACTGAAGTTACACTGGTCTGGGTCCAGCTGAGCACGGCACAAGTGTTTACTTGGTGCATTATTTCATTACAATTCAAAGCAGTCACTAACCAAAGCTAATTTAATACATTCATTAATTGATGTTGGCACGGTCATTTTAATTAGCTTGTTTTCTACAAATTAGTTCCTAAGTTGGGCACAGTCATTAGGGGCAAGTCGGCGCTTGCCGGAGCTCCCCTTTCCAGTTCATGCTGTAAGTTACTCCGCTCCTAAGTTGGCACGATAATGTTTTGATGATAACGCCAGGAGCTCACCCTGTGGAAGCTTGCAAAGCCAGCGCCATAAATCTCCTTAATGAGCTTCACTAACAACCTGATTAGCTGTAACTTGGGCAGCCACCGGCCACGCTCCCCTGGCCTTCCACCAGCTCTTGCTTGGCCTTTGAAGGACTCTTAGATAACCGAGCCGCTCAAGGGGTTTAGCATGACGAATCTAAAACGTGGCCGTACCTCTTCTGTGGAAGACTGTTCCTTTAATGCCTCAGAACCTAGGTCTAAGGTTTCGAAGCCTACTGGGCTGGATTCACCACCTAAGATCTTAGAGCCTTCTATCTCATCATTGGAGGAGTTTTTCTGCAATCTTGTGCCTCCTTCACCTGTTACTTCCAAGCAGTTAGATTGCCTACATGATCCTGCAATGACTCTAAACAACCTTTTAAACACCTCCAAGCAGATAGACTGTCCACATGATCCCGCAACGACTTCAAATACTCCCTTGTCAGGAGACAAATCGCTGTTGGATATGACCTCCAGCCCAGATGGCCTCTCTCCCTACCCCGACCCTCATCGTAAATCTTTATGTGATATAGTACAATCAGCGGAGCTGAGGACTTTGCAGAAATATTGTCTTCACTTGGCTGACGAAATAAAGGTGCTATCAGCTTCCATCAATATGTTAGAGGGAAAACTAAATGCCTTCACCAAAACCCCTGTCTCGATTTTGAACCCGCCATTAAATCATCAGGGACCTGATAATTATGAGGCACAGAGCCTAAGTAGGGGGCAGCAGCTAGTAAACCTCCAACTCACCCCTAACAATATATGCTTGAACATCGCTCACTCCTGCTTCCCCTATTATGCCTGGAGAAATCATAAAGCTGCTGTGATCTCATTGCGAATGTTGACCAGGTCTTACTTGGCCCAGGGTGGTCTCCTATCATTAGAATGGCTGCCAGAGACTCCAAAATTTAAGCGCTTGTTGCTCAAGTTCGACTCTCCCAGGCTTCCTGCACTTTTGAGCAAACTTAAAAATCATCTCAACTGGTTTGGAATCTTTCCACAAAGATGCTTTTTTTTTTTTTAAAGAATATTTATTCCAATTTTAAAGTTACAAAAAAAACATAGAAAAGGAAAAACACAAACCACATACATCTTACAAAAAACAGACAATAAAAAAGAAATAAAAAAGACAAAAAATCACAGTAGAAAGTAACAAAAATCAAATTAGACCATTACAACCATTTTCCCATTTACTTGTTTCCATGACTTCCTCTCACCTCCCTGCTTTGTATTCTAGTTTAAATCGTATCTCCAGCAAATCCTTCTAACCTTGTTTTCTTTTACTTATTTTAACATTCGAAAGTATTTAATTCTCCTCTATCCTCATTTTACACTTCATGTTTA